AGGTGGTAGAGATGGTGGTGGCTTGGGTTTTGATGCTCTCAATAGACACAGAGAATATACATGGGGAATGTTTTAATAGAAGAATCAACAACTCCTGGTTTCCATTTTTAGGAATATTATGTAGTGGTGTTATTGTTGTTTATGCCATTCAGAACTGACACACAGCTGACCCCCACCCCCGGTGCGTTTTCAGAGGTTGTCTGTCAAATGAGAAATGACTGCCCATCTTTCTTCTAAGGAGCAGCTGGTGGATTTGAACCGCCTGTCTCTGGGTAGGCAGCATAACTCCTTACCACTAAACTACCACAGCTCCCTTACTGTGGACTATATAATCCAAAATCTCCCCCTCAGCAGAATACTTTATGAAATAGAAAAGACATCCCCAGAAATGCTTATCTAAACTTGCAGGAAAGTAAAGCAAATTTACATTGGTCCAAAGCAAGGAATTCCAAACCAAGAAATAGAAGGATCGAGAAGGAAACTCTTACCTCTCTTCTTTTGGACCCTTCTAGAGTAGGGGGAGTTTCCCTAGAGAACATACAATTATTTGAGTTTTGGAATCTGAAGGCATATTACCAGCATGATACAGAAATGTCAAGACAAGAAAGCAACATAATAGAAAAAAAAAAAACACACACAAAAAAAAAGAAAGCAACATAATGATTGGTCTCTATTATGTGGTAACTCATGGGGTTGCTTCTGGCAGAAGCAAATACAAAACTGTTTTGGAGAAATACACCCTTGCCATAGTTGTTATCTAAGGAAATGTCCAATGAATATGTATTCATAAGCTAAAAAATTATAATACACAGAATAAAACAGTGCCTAAGAGTATTTAAGAGCCTGGCGAACTTCAGTAAGATCCAATAGGTTTGGACGGCACTTGGAGGGAGGAGCCAAAGGTAAATCACCCTGAAGAACTGCAGGGAATCAAACAGATGATGGGGGCCATTAATGGAAACGGCATGTACAGAACAATGGTTCGTTTTTAGACAGATCTTCAGGAATTGTGCTGCTGGAGGTAAGTACTGACTATGTTATGGACTGCTGCAAGAACACACGTCTGTCTTGTAGGAAGTGTAACCAGGGTGCAATGATGCTCAATCTTCATCTCACATACTTAGGGCGTGTGGTCAGGAGGGGCTAATTCTTGGAAATAGACCTCATGCTGGCAAAAATGGGGAGTCAGAGAAAGAGACGATGACTCTTAATAAGATGGATTGACACAGTGACTGCAACAATGGGTTCCAGTATATCAGAGACAGTGAGGATGGTATAGTATAGGGCAAAGTTTAGGCCTGTTATTCTTAGGATTGTTATGCGTTGTAGTCAAATGGATGGTACCAGACAACAATTGGAGGGACAGTGGCTAAAAGGCTCAGCTGTTTACCAAAAGGTGGTCATGAGAGAAAGAAGTGGCAGTCGACTTCCATAAAGACTGAAGGCCTTGAAACTATGGGGCTGCTCTGCTCCGTCCTGAAGAGTCACAATTGACTCATCAGCAGCGGATGGACTCCTGTTTGTGACATGCCAAGTCCTAGCCACGTGAAAACAATTAGGGGGAGAAAGGGAGTAGAATCCTCTGACTTGATGATTTTGCCTTTGGAAATTCCAGAATGGCACCATGGTTGTTAACCAAAAAGTTCAAAGTTTGAATCCACCCAGAAACAGCCTGGGAGGAAGACTTGACAGTCTATGTCCAACAAACCAGCTGCTGCAAACCCAAGGAACCCAGTGCTATTTTAACACCCGTGGGGGAGCTGTAAGTTGGAACCGGAGTGACCCACAGCCATGGGCCTGGTTCTTTTTTCTCTTGCATGTACTATAGCCCTGGAAGACAAGCAGATCTGATAATGACTGGACAAATAAACTAGAGGACCAACAGCTGGGTGACCTGGCATGCCAGGGCTATAAAACACAAACAAACTGCTGCTGAATTGATTCCAGCTCGTAGCAACCCTCCATCAGGCTTCTGAGCTGTAACTTTTCATGGAAGGAGGTGGCCCATCTTTCTCCTACAGAGAAACTGGTGGAATTGAACTGCTGATCTTTTTGTTAGCAGTTCAACACTTACCCTACTATGCCACCAGGGTTCCTTCATAGAGCTATAAACCCAACCCAACCCAAGACATCGCTGTCGAGAAGGAACAGGCTATACCAGACAGCCTTCCACACTTTGTATGTTGTTGTTAAGAGCAGTCCTGATGACTCATCTAGTGATCCTGTAAACAGCAGATCCGAACCTTGGTCTGAACTGTGCCATCCTCACAATCTCCACCATGCTCAAGCCCATTGGTGTGATCACTGTCAATCCATCTCATTGGGCGTTTTGTCTTTCACTGACCCTTCACCTTTCTCATCATGATGTCTTTACTCCTGGGCTCTCCTCAAATTGGCTTAAATAGAGTAGAAGAAAGCCTCAAGAAACAAGCCCTCTACCATTCTTAGCAGAAAGAAGAGATGAGATGCACAACAACCTCTTTATGTTCCAAGGTCGGCCTGAGACATTCAGAAAGTAAAAGTGTTGGGTAAGGAGTTCAGAGAGTCAGACATGGACAAGTCTCAGCACCCCACCTTTGCAATGGATTGTGCTTTCCTCTCCACACTCTAGCTCTACTCCCCCCAAGTCATGAAGAAGTCACCCAGAAGAAGGGGTCAAGGAAGGGGCCCTGACAAGCCCACAGCAAGAGCAACAATGTCAACCGTGAGTCACAGACAAACAACGCCTCTCCTTTGGCTTGGCTCCGCACACCAGTCAGATTCAGATGTGGCTTCGCTGGGGGTCACTACCCTTTGCGCTGGTAGCACATGATTCTCAGACAGAACATGGGCAGAGCTGGAGACCCTGAGTGTTCTGCGTGTCCACAATTCTAAAACACTCCAGTCTTCTGCTGCTGCTGTCACTACCACCCAGAGGCTCCCTCTAATGACCAAACCTGCTTCTTACTTCCCTGCAGGATGTCTTTTGAAAGTGGGTTTCTTTTTAAAGCTCAGGTGGCTCCATTAAGAGGTAGCAATCATTGGAATCAGCCTGGACTGTTTGACCCTATCTATTCCAAGGTGTTACTTTTTACTTTACAGAGTGAGTTATCTGTTGCCACACTGCTTTCTGGTCTTTGAAAAGAGGGCTATATGCTTTGCAGTCCAGGTCCTGGGGATTGTTGTTATTTGTTGTTGCTCTATATTGGCTCAGCACATGACAGAGCAGAGCTGGGCCGAAATCCTTCCAGAAGCAGAGTCTTCTCACCACAGAAATACAGATGAGTCCAAAAGTTTCGGTTCGCAGCCGACAGCACTTAACCATTGCACCACCAGTACTTGTGAGGACTCAGGAGGCTAAGATACGCAAAGTATTTGGTACTAAGATGTTCTAAAACCTAAAAACCTAACCTAAAATGTTCTACCTTTTTGGTCAACTGTGCCAGGTTAGATTGCTGGTAGTGCCTAACCAAAAAAGGAAGCAAGGCCTTGGAATTGTGGTGTTGGTGAAGTTGTTGTGTGCCTTCGAATCAGACAGAACCAATCCATAGCAGAGGCTGTAAATCACACATATTACAGAGCAGCTGGTAGAGTCAAACTATAAAACTTTGCATGGGAACACAACTCGTTACCAGTAAGGCACCAGAGCTCCCTAAGTTGGTGAAGAGTACTGACTATCCTGTGGACCTCCAAAAGAACAAGTCTGTCTTGAAGGAAGCACAACCAGGGGGCTCCTTAGAGGCAAAGACAGTAAAAGTTTGTCTCACATATTTTGGGTATGTTGTCAGGAGAGGCCAGTCCTGGGAAAAAAAACATCATGTTGGGAAAGGTGGAGGGTCACAGAAAGAGAGAAAGACCCTCAGCACGATGAATTGAGACACTGTGACTTTAACAATGGGCTTGAGCATGAGAGAATTGTGCGGGTGATACAGGACAGGGCAAGGTTCAGATCTGTTGTTCACAGAAGTCGCTGTGAGTTCCAGTCTATTCGACAACATCTCACACCGCCACCCAACTTACGAAGTACTGGAGTTAAGACTACTGTAGTTACAACCATCCTTATCCCTCTCTGCTCCTCTGAGAACATTAGTAATACCAACTACACACAGGCTTAAAATAGATCTAGAAACATACATGTAATGTTTCCCATCCCCAAAGACTTTATAAAGATTCTAATAAAAAAATGCAATAATTAAACAAAGAATTCCACTATGTCAGAACCCACTCTCTACTGAGTCTTTCAAACAGAAACCCCTCTTAAGTCAGTGACTACCTGGAATTCTTTGATTGAGTACATATTTATTGACTGCTTGCTGCGTGCCCAGTGCCTGGCAGGAACACTTGACTACAGGTGTGTAAAGTATCCGCTTTAGGTCGCCATCTCCCCCTCAATTCAGAACCCGGATTCCACCAGCAAGAGTACCCACCCTCCACCCTTTTCTGCGCAAACACATTCTCCTGGGAGAGACGTTGGTCTAAGGTCAGGCAGGAGCTTGGACGACAGATTCAGTAAGCTTTTAGCACAACCATTTTAATTGCAAAAATAAACAGTTTTGTCAACTGCTCAAGAGTAGCATCTGCTTTACAAAAATTAACCACCACCACCAAAAAAAAAAAAAAAAGGAAATAACCCCAAAGCAAAACGTCACATCCATAGGCTGCTGGAAAGACAATGCTGTACAAAGTCCCGCGCGAGACCGGCTCGGCGCTGCCTCAGCCTGTCTCTGGGGAGGGGCGTGGGGAGGGGCGTGGGGCGTGCGCCAGGTACAAAACGAGAGTCTGGAGTCTGAGCGAAGTGCCGAACCGGTAGGCGGCCTCAGAGCGTGGTTTGGCGGCTTTAGGCCCCGGGAGCTGTCCGCGGAGCTGGTGCTGAATAGAACGTGAGCTGAACAGGACGTGAGACTGAAGGCGGGACTGAAGGCTCGCCCGCGGAATCCGGGAAGAGGTGGGGAGGGGAACAACGAGGGGCTGTCTTCTCGCGCGCGCCTGGCGGCGGCGCCCCAACCTACACACTCGCTTGCTCACAGGGCGGCGAAGGAGAGGCCCAGGGAGTAGAAGCCGAGGCCCTTGAGCCGCTCCTCAGCGCGCGCCTTCTGCTTGAGGTGCACCTTGCTGTGCCGCTTCTTCTCGTCGCTGCGCGCAAAGCGCCGGCCGCACACGTCGCAGGCAAAGGGCTTCTCGCCCGTGTGGGTGCGCACGTGCGTGGTGAGGTGGTCGCTGCGGCTGAAGTTGCGGAGGCAGATGCGGCACTGGAAGGGTTTATGGCCGGTGTGGATGCGCAGGTGGCGGTTGAGCTCGTCCGAGCGCGCAAAGCTGCGCACACAGGTCTCCACTGGGCAGGCAAAGGCCTTGGCATGCGGCCGCGGGCAGAAGCAGCGCGCGCTGCACTTGCCTCCCCGCCGCCCCTTGCGTCGCGCCTTGGCCTGGGGGAACGCGGGGGCCGGAGGTGGTGGCCCTGGAGGCGCGGCCACGCCACTGCCCCCGGGGATGTCCGCCACCAGAGGCTTTGGTAAGTCCGCTGTGGTGCTGCGGAGCCCCAGCGGGGAAAGCGGGGGCTGTGTACCGGACAGGAACTCGCCGCCGTCGCCGCTACCTCCACCCTCCCCACCCGGAGGAGTCAGGAGCCCCGGGAGGCCCTCGGTCACCTCCCCTAAGTCACCAGGGGCCAGCGGGAAAACGTCGTAAGAATCCGAGGCATACAGTCTGTTCGCCTGGCCGGTCGGCAGCTCAGCGGGGCAGCTGATGGACAGCAGGTCTTCAATCTTGGTGCCCACAGCCGGGAATCTTGACTCAGGGGTGGCCTGGTAGCCCCCCTGTAACCCGCAGTTTCCTGGGGTCCCAGCAGAAAGCAGATCCCAGGGTGCGTAGGGACCACTGAAGGCCGAGGCAGTGTCCAGCGCGGGAGAGGCTGGCGGCGCCCGGAGACCCGGCTTGACGTCGGGCGGGGACAGCTGCGGTTCGTACAGGCACTGCGAGGGGGCGCCCGTGGAGGGCGAAGCCTCCCAAAAGGCTTCTGGAAAGGCGACAGCGCCCAGGTCTGGGGGGTAAATGTCAGGCAGGCCTGGCAGCAGAGTTTCGGGGCCTGCAGGAAAGGGGGCGTCCAGTGGGCACCGGGATGCTGGCGCCTCGGGGCCAGGTAAAGGCGTCAGGCCTAGGATGCCCGACATGAGGTTGAAGAGCGCCTCGGGGTCGTGCGGGTGTTCGGGCACCGCCTGGATGAAAAAGCTCCCGCTGTAGCTGAGGCCGGGAGGGGGCGTGGGCGCGGGCCCCTCCAGGAAGCAGGCGTCTGCCAAGTTTCCCCCGGTGCCGCCGCTCAGAGCCCAGCTCAAGAAGTCGCCTGCTGAGGACAGAGCAGGGATCAGCCCTGGGCACCTCCAAAGGCGCGCTTCTCAGTCTGTAGCCCCTGCCCGCAAGGCCCTAGGCGCATACACAAACGAGGTGCCTTTTGCACACTCGGATCTGGCAAGCGGCTGCAGGTGCTCCCAGACGCACACACAAACATGCACACGCAAAACACACGTGCACAGGCACCAGGACCGGGCTACGTGCACGGGTCCCTGCGGAGGCGCTGGCGGCCCAGTGGGGATGGGATTAGGGTGCGCATCCCAGGACTGCCGTGCATCCCGCAGCCGCTGCTACCCCCAGAGCCTGTGTGTCCCTGTCTTTGCCCACTTGCAGGCACCTCTGCGAGTGGAGACGCCGTCCGAACACCCGCGGCCACGCTCCTTACCTCCGGGGTAGCCGCTGGCCACTGGCGCGTCCCTGGCAGGCAGCCGGGACTCGGGGCTGGGTTCCGCGCAACAGTCCTCAGTGGACTTAACGAGGAGAGCGTCGGGGCCCGAAAACTCGCCAGGGTGGAGCATGGTGCGGTGGAGGCTGCGGGGAGCCCGGGGCCTCGCCCGCTGGGTTCGGGGGTGCGCGGGTGGAGGGGAGGCCGGCGGCCGGGGAGCCCCGGGACCCTCAGACCCAGGTGTTTGAGCTCCTGGCTGCGGACGCTCGCCTTTGGGAGGAGGCTTGGGGGACTTCGGCGCCCTAGTTGGTCGGGACTGGCCTGGGGCGGCGGCTTCTTCCCTCTCCAAAGCGCAGCTAGGCTCCCCCAACCTGCGGCCCCCCCATTTATATAGCGGCGGCAGCTCTGGCTCCGGGCTTCCGACTCCCGGGCCACTGCCATTTCGGGAGGCCCCGGCCCTGCCGCCGTGACGTAAATGCCCAAACATGGACACAGGATGTGTGCCGGGGACTCCCGAAAAGGAAAGCTCGGGCTGTGACGTAACCGCCGCCAGCACCACCGGGTTCGCGCCGCTGCGTGCGCGCTCTCCTTGGGGCCGGAGCCCATGCGCGGTGCGTGAAGGCCGCGGGTGCGCCCCGCTGGGGAGGGGGCTGCGTCCTGGGGGCTGTGCGCGCACCACTCCAGAGCCCGAGGCCCGACGGCAGGCGAAGGCCCGTGGACTTAGGGTTTCTGGAGTTTGGATATCGAATCCACTCTCGTCCACTTTCTAGCTTTTCCCCCCCCATTGATTTCCTCTAATGTTAGTTTCCTTTCCTGTAAAATGGGGAAACTTATGCCAACCTGTAATTTTGTTGGGGCACAAGAAATTCCAGACACAAAATTCAGTATACCTAGAGATTGTTGCTTCTACATGTTCCGTATTTGGCCCACTCCTATTTTCGCCCATTTTTTTGTGCTTTATTTGCAATAGGAAGAATAGTGCATACTTAAATTTAAAAGTAAAAAAAAAAAAATTAAAAGTGTAACATTGTAATCCCAGAGGTATATGGTTCGAATCCATCAGATGCTCTGCTGGAGAAGTAGGGACAATCTCCTCCTGTACCAGTCAGGTCCGATTTGACGGTACACACACACACACACACACACACACACACAAATAATAAAAATTAAAAGTGTAAAACTATTTGGGAGTGGAGAAGGAGAGGGCAATTGTCCAGAAGTATTATAGTCGAAATTGAAAAGAAAAAGCTCACTTGCTCTACCTCCAATCCAACTACACCAAGTAGTCATATTTAAGTGTCTTGGATATTCTTTTTTTTTTTAATATTCTTCAAGAAAAATATATATATTTATATGTATATATACACACAGATAATGTTCTGCAATACGTTGTTTTCCCTTTAAAATTGTTCAGAGATCGCTCAATATATGAGATGAACGAGTTTTGTTGACTTGGAGCCAACTAATAGGTGACTTTTCAGCAGGTTTTCAGAAGATGAAAATCGTTTAGAGGAGATTGCCCTCTTTCACCCACATAGCAGCTAGTGGATTCAAAGTGCCGACCAACTCCAGACTCAATAAACCATCATAGCTCCTCTTTCAATGGCCTCATTTTATTAGCACTATCTAGGACTACATTGGCTCTGGGGATGTAGTGCATAGAAAGCTGTGCTGCCAACCCCTTGGTGGACAGTTTGAATCACCCAGCTGCTCTGTGAGAGGAAAATGGACAATCTGCTCCTGCTTGACCTACAGTGTCCGAAACCCACTGGAGCCATTTCTGACCAGACATCAATGCTAAATTGTTTGTTGTAGAGTTAGCATGCCATGTTAAGAAGAGGCTATGAATGAATTTTCCTACTATCTGGAACTAAGTCTAGAGTTTCCTATCTTCTGCTATTACTATCTTAGTTACTTAGTGTGAAATAACAGAAATACCACAAATGAGAGGCTTTAATAAACAGAAGCTTGTGTTCTCATAGTTTAGGAGGCTTGAGTGCTGAATTCTGGGTGAAGACTGTGTCAGCTGTGGGAGAAATCTTGCTCCTTGCTTCTATGGTCATCTTCCTATAATATGGAATCGGTAGTCCTGGTCGGCTTTCATAACCAGCAGTTCAATGATAGCCAATTCAGACACACCATATATTGACCGTACCCCATGAACATAACAAAGAGTCTTCATTCGTAAATGGGATGATAAGCACAGGTGTCATACAGAGGTTTTTAACTCTTATTTTGTTGGGGCCTGGGGAGGAAGAACACAATTCAGTCCGTAACACTAAGATTATTGTAGTGAACTTCCTTGATGATATAAATGTGAATATAACTACAGGATAAATTCTTTGTGAGTCCAAGAAAATGAAAAGTTTAGATCTCTGTCTAATTGACCTCCAGAAATTCAGGCCAATTCCTGCTCTATTTCTCCTCCCAACTAGATATCTTTATAGATTATTTTTCTCCTCTGAAGGGATGTCGTTCCAACAATGCATAGAAGAGTCAAAAGAACTGTCTCTCTGGGATTGGCACTTGAATTAGTGGTGCTTCTTCTGAAAGTATGAAAACAGACTCTTTCCTACTGCCCTCTACGTGATTCTGAATGCCGGCTGCAGTGTCAGAATTCAGTTCAGCACCGATGCCACCTGCTCTGCTGGTCGCACCTCTCTTCCTCTCTGATATTTCCCTCTATCTCATTTTTTCCCATCCTCTTTTTAACTTCATTCTACTTTGTGTTATAAGACACTCACTCCCTTTTTGGAAATTTTAGGGATTAAATAAGTACATAGGCTAGGATGCTTTTCAGGAGAAATAGCAATTCCTGAGACTCTGAGTGTCAACACGTAGGGAAGAGAGGACTGAGACCTCCTGTTCTTTCTTTATGCTCCTAGAGGGAGGAGCAAAGTGACTGGTTGTGAAGGGCTGCCCTGTGACTAACAGTGTATTCCAGCTTTCCTGAATCTCCTTTAATCTTCCTCTAATCTCCTTTCCAAGGGCGATTGTCCAAGAATGACCCAAACTTGTGTCTCTTACCCAAATATCCATCCGTCCATTCAATATCTCAGCATATATTCTTTTCTTTTTTTAAAAAAAAATATTTTTCTTATGTGTGCCCTTGAATCAGATCTCACTGGCACAGGAGGAGATTGCCTCTTTTTCTCCAACAGAGTATTTGGTGGATTTGAACTGTGCACCTTCAGGATTGTAGTACAGCTTCATGCCACTAGGGCACCAGCACTCCCTGAGTATATATTCTTAAATGTTTGCACTGCTACTCCAAGGCTTATCCCTAGCTGTTCACCCTCCATTCCATTCCATCATAGTCCACTCTGTAACAATTCCATAAATGTGCTCATGGAGTGTGTTCATTGCATAACCACCTCACTGTCCACTCCATAACCTTATCATCCACTCCATGACCTCATCGTCCACTCCATAACATCATCATCGACTCCCATACCTCTGTTTATAGAATATGTTCATCATACACTTGCAGGCAGCTGCTCCTTGTGCTTGCAAATCACGCAAAGGTTTTCACAGAGGTCATAGTGCAGTGTCTTGCCAAATGTCACATTTGCTCGTCACCCATGTTTATTGCGGCTTTGTTCACAATAGCAAAGAGTTGGAAACAACCTAAGTGCCCATCAACAAACGAATGGATAGAGAAGCCCTGGTATATTCACACAATGGAATACTATGCTGCATTGAAAAACAAAGAACTCATGAAATATTATGCAAAATGGATGACCCTGGAGGACATGATGCTTAGTGAAATATCTCAGTCACAAAAGGACAAATATTGCAAAGTGCCACTGTTGTAAAATGGGACTGACATTGGGGTTGGGGGGAGACTGAGAAAGAGGGAATAAATAATGCATACTGCATTAAAACAGATGAGGGAGAGAACTGTTTAAAAGCGATATATGATTAGGTACTATTGTCATGACAGGAGTCCAGAATGAAGGCTGCATAGTGGAGTGGACTGGGTGGGGGGAGATCTTTTGACAATGAAAGAATTTTCCTTTTACTTTTCTTTTTTTTCCCCCGTCAAATAACTTTATTCACACAATCGTCAAATTTTTCTTTTACTTTTCAAAGAAGGGGAGGGATGGGCAGGGAGTAAAATGCAACACGAAATGAATGGAAATCCCAAGTCTGTAAATGTTCATTAAAATTAATAAAAATGTCAAATATATATCTCTAGGTTCCCATATTTGTAGGTGAGCAATGCATATGTTTACATGTAGGAAAGAAAGAGCCAGCTCATGTCTGTAAGAATTAGATAAGCAGAACAGTAGATTCCTTATACTGTATTAAGACATGGGCTTGATTCTAACACACAAACACTTTGCCAAGGCCAGGTGAGCCCACACCAGACACGCAGGGCACACATGTCTCAAATGCTCGCTGTCATCTTGCTGGCCAGGAGAGACAGGAGGGAGTAGGTTTGGCTGGGCCAGTGTCCAGGGCTCTCCAGGTTACCTCGTTGAGCCAGATTGGCTAGCCCCAGGTACCCCATCTGTCATGGCCCATATTTTGGGCCCCCCTCAAAATATACTGTAAATCCTAACCTCTATGTTCATCATTATAATCCCAATAGGGAATGAGTTATGCTAATGTGGCAGGATTAGTGTGGCGTGTATCCTGACTCAATCTCTATTTGAGACAGAAAAGAGATGAAGAATAAGCACACAGAATAGAGACCATGAGAAGAGAGACGCCAAGTCACATGACGATTGCACAGGAGCAGAAGCTCAAGGAGACAAGGACCTTTCTCCACACCTGACAGGAAGAGGAAGTTTCGCTTAGAGCTAGCATCCCAAATTTGGACTTCTAGTCTCCTAAGACCAAAGAAGAATGGATGACTGCATTGTACTGTTGGAGAAGAGTCCTCAATATTTCATGAACAACATATCTGTCTTAGAGGAAATGCAACCAGAGTGGCCCTTGGAGGCAAGGATGGTAAGACTTCACCTCACATACTTTGGACATACTGTCAGAAGGGGCCAGTCCTTAGGAAAAGACATCATTGTAGGAAAGGTGGAAGGTCAGAGAAGGAGAGGAAGATCCTCTGCAAGATGTATCGACACAATGACTTTAACAGTGGGTTATTGCATATCAGAGACCATGGTGCAGGATGGGACAGTTCAGATCCGTTATTCCCAGCATGCATTGTAGTCGACTTGATGGCACCTCATAAGAACAGTCTCCTGAGAAAATGAAATTCTGTCTGTCTAAAGCACCCTTTTGTGGGATTTCTGTTACAGCAGCAGTAGATATCCAAGACACACCACTTCTTTCATTGTCCCTTTATCTGCCTCTTCCTTAGTCATGGGCGGGCCCCTTTCTTTTCTGGAGAGTTACTAGGTCACTTCTATAGCCTCGGACTTGCCTTGTCGTGAAAGGACAAGGGCCTGGGCCACATCA